AATTGATGCTTTTGAACTGTGGTGTTGGAGAAGACTCTTGAGAGTCCCTTGGACTGCAAGGAGATCCAACCAGTCCATCCTAAAGGAGATCAGTCCTGGGTGTTCATTGGAAGGACTGATGCTGAAGCTGAAAGTCCAGTACTTTGGCCACCTCATGGAAAGAGTTGACTCATTGGAAAAGACCCTGATGCTAGGGGGGATTGGGGGCAGGAGAGAAGGGGACGACAGAGGATGAGATGGTGGGATGGCATCACCAACTCGATGGACATGAGTTTGGGTAAACTCCGGGCGTTGGTGATAGATAGGGAGGCCTGGTGTGCTGAGATTCATGGGGTCGCAAAGAGTCGGACACGACCGAGCGACTGAACTGAACTGAACTGATGTGTACGGTACTGTCTTGTTGCCATGGTAATGTCTGCACTGGAAGCCACACCCAGGAGTGTATAGCATGTCTCCTTGGGAGCATGACTTAGAGGGAACTGGGCTGACCTTAGTCCACAGCCAGGGTCTCTCCTCATGACCCCTACACTGGCACTGGGTATCGACTCACCATGGGGTGATGCCCTGGAGTCTTGGAGATCAGGCATCATCTCTTTTTCTCCATTTTGGTATCATTACTGTGCAAAGGCAAACACCCCTGAGACTTCTAAGAGAAAAGCCAATATCTCACTCCCCAAAATAGACATAAAACCTGACCATCTGTAGTGAAGCTACAATTATGGAATCCTGGGTTTTGAGAGGACTTGAAAGGTCACTTATATATAACCTCTTCAGTGGCACAAATTCTCTTTTCTGTGAGCCAGGAGCCAGCATCTGCTTGAATACCTTAAGTTAAAGGCAACTTCAGCTAAAGGTAGCCCACTTCCCATTTCAAGGTTGGAGAGCTCTGACCTTAATTTTTTTCCCTTTATGAACTGCAATTGGTCTGTTGACTTTCTACCCATTAGCCCAGTTTCTAATCTTTTGAGCCACTCTATGAGTTATCCATTCCTAGCTACTCAGTAGCTTAAAGCTACATATTATCTCACAGTTTTTGTAGGTTAGGCATCCAGTTGTGGCTTAGCTGGACTCTGTTTCAAGGTGTCTCATGGGGCTGCATCAAGGTAGTAGTTATGCTAAGGTCTCATCTGAAAGCTTGACTAGGGAACAGTGCACTTCCAAGGACACATGAGTGTTGCCAGGATTCAGTTTCCTGCAGGTTGTTGGACTAAGCCAGTTCCTTGCTGGCTGTTTGTCTGTTTCCATATGGGAATCTCTACAGGGCAGCTCACAGCATGGCCACTGCCTTCCTCAAAGCCAGCATGGGAGAGAGAGCCTACCAGTAAGACAGAAGTTATGATCTCATGAAATCATAGAGGTGACATCCCCTTGGGGTTGACGTATTCAACTAGCTACCAGCAGTTACTCAAGGAGTGGGGGTTGGTATTCATCGACCATGAATAGCAAAAGGCAGGGATCATGGGGTCCATCTGCCGGGACTGCCACACAGAAGAAATTTACTCTCCCACAGAATCATCCTTCTAATAGTTGAAAGTAATTTTCATATCTTTTCATCTTGGCTATAGTCAAGTGAGTATCCTTACTGTCCCAGCCATTGTCCTCAGAACTTGCTTTGCTGCTTATGTCAAAATGGAGCCCCTAAACAGAGTTCAGTTCTCTGGCTGGACCTGACCAGGGTGGAGTGGGACCTCCTGGGAGAGTGAGCACTGGGAGACCTTCAGCTCCTCCTGCTAAATAAGGCTTGATTTCAAAGATAGAAGTTCTAGAAGCCCAGTCTTTCACTGCAGAAGAGTTTTGGTGTCAGTACACTGAATTCAGATTGAGTCCTATTAATGTTTCAGAGCAAACATTCCAGAGATCTTTGAGTATTAGGTATTTTTGAACATGAAATTTCATAAATTGGAAAAGTGAAGATTTTCTCCTTCTTCTGTATCCCCCCCCACTCACCAATCTAGTAAATAGTTTAAAAACATTTTTTTTTTCTCTCTAGAGTATTAAACAAATAGAACAACTTTTCATGAAAATAGACTATGAAGCAGTGGGCAGAATTCAGTGGGTAAGTTGGGTTGTGTTTTGTGAATCAGACTTGAAGTTACTGAGGAAAGTGTATAACATGTTTGTTTCTGAGCCTTTCTGGAGTACCCTATGCCCCTTAGTACATTTGCCCACTTGAAAGTGAACCAAGGGGACATGCACATTCACAATTTTCAAGCTCTTGTATATCAGGTTAACTAGGAATTTCAGTAGCTCAGGCAAGTCCTGAGAAGGCTTTCTTAAAACCAGGGAATGAAGGGCATAGTTGCTACATTGCGTGCATGCATGCTAAGTCGCTTCAGTAGTGTCTGACTCTTTGCAACCCCATGGACTGTAGTCTGCCATTCTCCAGGCAAAAAAAAAAACGGAGTGGGTTGCCATGTCTTCCTCTAGGAGATGTTCCCAACCCAGGGATCAAACTTGTGTCTCTTATGTCTCCTGCAGGTTCTTTACCACTAGTGCCACCTGGGTATTTGCCACCTTTCATGCATACTAAGTCACTTTGGTCCTGTTTGATGCTTTGTGACCCTATAGACTATAGCCTGCCTGGCTCCTCAGTCCATGGGGATTTGCTACCTTACCCAAAAGCAAAAGTGAAACACCAGCGAGCAAGAAATCCTATGAACAAGCAACACCTAATGATAATCAGATCCCTGACACACACAGAAAGTATTTAGAACAAGGATAGCCACAGAGTAATTTTTCAACAAATACTATCATCATCATCATCATTAATGTTTCCCAATTTGGATTGTATAATAATGAGGAGCTGAGACATCTGCCAATGACATTCTCTGCCACTGTGCATCAGTAGCCTCCTATTGCTGTAGGATGAATTAAGTTCTAAAGTGACAAGTTGAGTCACGTTCACCTCTGTTCAGACCTTGGACCAATCCTCTAATCAAAGCAAATACAAGTGTTTTCACTGTAGTCTGATTTGAAAGGGAATAGTTAGGATTCCAGGGAAGAGAAGGAAAGTAGTGAACTAGGGCTTTGGGGGAAGTGGAGAGAAAATGGAGATGTTCCCAGGCTTTTTGGGCACTCCCACTCCTTCCCTGTGACCACCGGTCTGCTCTTCCCTACGTGCACTGCTGAGATTTGAAATGAAGCCTATGTCCTGGTGGGTCAGAACTGTGCAGTCAAACTGACATGGGCTCAAGTCTCAGGCAAGACACTTACTAGTTGCTTGATCTGTATGTATGTGTTAGTCACTTAAGAAAGTGAAAGTGAAAGTCAGTGGTGTCAGCGGTGTCCAACTCTTTGCAACCCCATGGACTGTATAGTCCTGTATTCTCCTGGCCAGAATACTTGAGCAGGTAGCCTTTCCCTTCTCCTGGGGATCTTCCCAACCCAGGGATGGAACCCAGGTCTCCCACATTGCAGGCCGACTCTTTACCAGCTGAGCCACCAGGGAAGCCCAGGAATCCTGGAGTGTTAGTCACTTAGTCGTGTCCAACTCTTTGCGACCCCATGGACTGTGGTCTACCAGGTTCCTCTGTCCATGGAACTGTCCAGGCAAGAACACTGGAGTGGGTTGCCATTTCCTTCTCCAGGGGATCTTCCTGACCCGGGGATCAAATCCAGGCCTGCCTGCATGCAGGCAGATTCTTTACCATCTGAGCCACCAGGGAAGACCCTGTTTGATCTTAGGCAGATAATTTAGTCTTTCTAGGTGTGAGTTCCCATTTTGTAAAATAAGGAGAGTGATAGTACTTATCTTATCCAGTTATGGTAAGAATGGAGGTGAAGGTCCACATTGAGTGAAACAGGGTATGTTCTCAATCACCACCACCATCATCATCATCTTTAGAGAGACTGGGCAGGGAAGTGAGCCCAGGCACACGGTAGCACACTTCCAGCCCCAGCCCAGCTAGTGCACCCCAGCTATTAGCCCCAAGTTTTTGGCAGCCAAGTTCATACCAATGACCTAGTTCATACTAATACTTACCTCATGTCCATGCCCTGATGATAAGGAGAATTTTTGAAAGCCAAAAAGGCAGCAGACATTTAATGAACTTTCCCTTTTCCCCAGGATGGCTTCTGCACGTATTTGCAGCTAGTATATTCGGAGCAGGCTGGTGCTCGGGCTCGACAGCAGGAGGCCTCCTTCCAGCGGCCCGCTCTGCTACAGGGGCTGTCGTACAGGGCTCCCGCGCTGCGCATTCTTGCTGCGCCTGATGACACCTTAATCATGATCAGAGAAGATGGAGCCATTTATTTCTGGTCTCTGCAGCTGAAGTTGAAAAGAAGAAAGCGGGTTTTTGTATGTGATTCTCATTTGATAAGGATGCTGAGTGCTCCAGTTTGATTTTATTTGCTATTTTAAACTGCTCCTTGAGTGGCATGATTACAGAAATTGTGTCCTTGAATATAATATATTCATGTTGGATTTTGCCAGTCTGTGGGATGCAAATATGATCTCTATATGTAGGACAAGATAATTCTTCATTCCGCTGCTAAAATCAGATGGAGTGATGAATTACACATGATTCCATCATGTAATTTATCATGTCTTAATGAATGACAAATGGAAAAGAATTTTCCGTTTTTCTCCCTGTTAATGGTTCTTTCAGTTTAGGTAGTTCTGAGAGAACTTACTGAATCAAAGAATCAGAAATTCAGAAGGCAAGAAGCATTTGGGAAGTACACTTAGGAATAACAGTACCTGAGCCTTTACAGAATAGAGTCTAACTTTGAAGTCTTTCTTTAATTACATCTTTCAGCAAATAGTTGAGCCCTTGTCGCTTCTCAGGTTCTATGCTGGGTGCTAGGGATAGATGCCCATTTCTGTCCTCAGGAAACTTATCATCCACCCTATTAGTTACACAGCTAAACTATACCCCTCAGGCTGCCAAATAAGCCCTCCCTAGAAGTGAAGTCGCTCAGTCATGTCCGACTCTTTGCGACCCCATGGGTGTAGCCTGCCAGGCTCCTCTGTCCATGGGATTTTCCAGGCAAGAGTACTGGAGTGAGTTGCCATTTCCTTCTCCAGAGGATCTTCCCGACCCAGGGCTCGAACCTGGGTCTCCCACATTCTAGGCAGACGCTTTACTGTCTGAGCCACAAGGGAAGGAGAGAATAAAGTCAATCCCTCAAGTCTATGTAGCAAGTTCTCTATACAGGCAAACCTTGTTTTACTACATTCCACAGATACTGTATTTTTTATAAATTGAAGGTTTGTGGCAACCCTGTATTGAGCAAGTCTATCAGGGCCATTTCCCCAGCAGTATCTGCTCACTTTGTGTCTCTGTGCCACATTTTGGTAATTCCTGCAATATTTCAAATTTTTTCATTATGATTATATCTGTTGTGGTGATCAATGATCAGGGATCTTTGATGTTACTATTGCAAAAAGATTACTACTCACTGAAGGCTCAGATGGTGGATAGCATTTTTAAGTATTTCTTTGTTTATTTTTAATTGAAGTATAATTACTTTACAGTACTGCATTGGTTTCTACCAAACATCAAAATGAATCAGCCATAAATTTTCCCCTCCCAAGAAAGTATTTTTTAATGAAGATATGTACATTGATTTTTTTAAAAAAAGCATTGCACACTTAATAGACTTATTAGCATAATGTAAACATAACTTTGTATGCACTGGGAAACCAGAAAATTCACATGACTCACTTCATCACAGTGGTCCACAATATCTCCAAGACACACCTATACTTGAGGGTGAAAGTAAACTGAAGGAAACTCTATAAAGTTAAGTATGTGTATTATGGACCAGAGTGGCTTGAGACAACTGAAATTGTCTCATCATTAAAAAGGTGTATTTTTGTACATTTCCATCCTTCTACCCTTTAGGACAAGCCCATTATTCAGAAGTCCAGGTGGGTGATGGATATTACCATCTTGCCCCAGTACAACAAACTGATCCTAGCGACTGGGTGTGTGTCTTCGGCTGTTCAACTGGAACAGGAATCATCATTGGTCTATGGAATTCATTTCCATGTGTGGGTTTACACAGACATATTCATGTTTATGATAATAGTATAAAGAATGAGGCCCTTTAAAAAATATACTAGAACTCATACATCATCAAAGCTGCTGTGCAAAGAAAGCTATCAGTTTGTCTGGCCAATAGCAGTGATATTGTCATTGTCTCAAATTGATAGTCCTCTTTTGGAATACTTCCAGAGTGAGAAAAAAAATGTCATTACATTTTAGCACCCTTTATTTTAGATTCAAAATAATACTGCTATTTTATTAGCCACCAAAATTCAGTCCAAAAGACTTTGGACTGATTCAAAAAATAAAATCCACAGTGAAAACAAACTATACTCACTGGTGGAGAGCTTCCAAAGAATGGGCCTTGGAAGAATGGCCTCAAGATATGAAGGAAGATACTGAAGATTTTGATCAAGGGCAACATAAAGATTGAAGGCAGGAGGGGAAGGGGACGACAGAGGATGAGACGGTTGGATGGCATCACCGACTTGATGGATATGAGTTTGAGCAAGCTCCAGGAGTTGGTGATGGACAAGGAAGCCAGGCAGGGAAGGGAAGCGGCAGGGAAAGGAAGCTACAGCGAACCTGGTGGGGAAGGAAAGCCTGAAGGGAAGCTGCGGTCAGTCTATGGGGCTGCAAAGAGTCAGAAACGACTGAGCAACTAAACTGAACATAATGAAAGTAGGGTTCCCTGGTGGTTCAGCCAGTAAAGAATCCACGGGCAATGCAGGAGACCTCGGTTCCATCCCTGGGTCAGGAAGGGACCCAGGAGAAGGGTCCTGGAGAAGGGAATTTCACCCCTGGAGAAGGGAATTGCTACCCACTCCAGTATTCTTGCCTGGAGAATTCTATGGACAGAGGAGCCTGGAGGGCTGGAGTCCGTGGGGTGGCAAAGAGTCGAATACCGGCTGAGCGGCTAACACTTTCAAAATAATGAAAATGAATGTGCAGCATCCTGGGCGCCGCTTGAGCAACCTCAGTAATGCGCCAAGGCAAGGGCGTGTGCAGCTTGGTGGGAAGGAATTTTGTAAAACTCCAAATTAAGGCAAAAGCAACGGGGGGGAGGGGGGGTGAACTGTGATGGGAGTGGTGGGTGTGTCCAGGCTGAGGAATTAGGTTGTTTAGCATGGGGCCGGGGGCGTGGCTAGATGAAGGGACTGCTGTTGAATGTAGTTCCCACCACCATGCCTGACCCTCTTCAGACTCCTCCCTCCACCTCCGACTCCTCCCAAACCCAAACTTGCCTCCTTTAGCAGCCCCTGGTTCCTTAGGCTTCAGTGTCGTTAGCTAACAATTAATATAAACCCACATCATCCAGGCTCTCAAAGACAATTAAATTTAATAAGTTTAATTATTAAAACATATTAATATTACTCATATAATTAATATCAGCCATTAAAAAACAACAAATTTGGATTTCTGAATTCAGCCCCGTTTGATTTTAAAAAGCGTGCTCAATAGCTTTAATTACCATGTCTTTTACATACATAGAAATTCAGAGATTAAAGCAGTAACTTCCTAGAGACTCTCTGAGCTGGCAAATGGGAAAATAAGGCAAGACAGATGACTCTGGAGGCAGCGAACCATTCTTGAGCTGCATGGCAGGTGGAAAGGAAGTGGAAAACTACATTAATCAGTGACGGAAAGGCGTTGGAATTTAGGGAGTGACCCACACACACACCCGCACACACATACACATGTGTTGCATGTGAACAGGCTGAAGCAGCAGGCTGTTTTTCTTATACCCTCAAACTTGTTCTTTCAGTCAGCTCCTGGGTGGACAAGCTAACATAGGAGGAAGGGGTCAAGGACACAAGTTAAGGAGGACTGGGGGGTGGGAAATGAGTCCTTGACCCTCCACTGTGTGACTCTAATCATCTTTATTATTAGCAGCAAAAATGAGTTCACATTTTTGAGCAGTTAAGAAGTCCCAGGTATCAAGCTAACTACTTTCTCACATATCCTCTCATTTAATCCCAGTAACTCTCCTGTAAGACAGGTGTGAGCCCCATTTTACAGATGAGGGAACTGTGTGATGAGCTGGGAAATGACGTCTGAACTATTGGCATCCAGAGCCCATGTTGTTGGAAACTGTGCCAGCCTCCTGATAGGGAATACGGGTGCCAGGACCAGTTCAGAACCAGATGGAAGTGATGTCCCCAAAGGGTGGAGCTGGAGGCTTCCTCTCCAGCTCCAGGGGCCATGCTCAGGAAGGCAGGTGTTTCACTGGTCTGCTGTTTCTGTTTCATGGAATCTGTGCATTATAAACAATGCTCTATGTAAAAATCAAGTGGGAAATTTAAGTTTACACCAAGTGTGCTTGATCTCTGAACAGAAATGGTGAAATCCAGTATGAACTCTCTAACTTGGAGCCGTACTGTCAGATTGGTGGCCTGGAAGCTGTCCCGCTGAAACTGAACTATTGGTAAGAAAGAGGCATCTCCAGGGCCAGGCAGAGTGCCTCTCCCCTGAGCACCAGATCCTTCCTTCTCTCTCTGTGGACGGTTGTGTACACTTGTGTTCTATCAGTAGGTGTCCTGGCTCCCGTGGAGCCCGTCATGACAGTGCCACTTGTCGCAGTGGTGTCCAGAAAGGAGCGGCCTTCCTGTGTCTGTGGAGGAAAGGGAGGCCCAGAGAGGTGAAATGGTTTCTGTTAATGAGATTATGAATTATTCTATGTTTTAAATGTGGATGTGTTAATTTTCCTGAAACCCAACTCTGACCTTGTTACTCTGCTTTTGAGTGGTTGCCGAGTCCTTCTCCAATAATATTCACACCTTTCAGTGGCACCCAAGCCTCCCCTCCCGACTGCCATTCTACCCTCCCTTTGCACTGGGCCTTCAGGGCCAACCTAAACAGAGACCCCTCAACTCTACCCAGGCAGGTCTGGATGCTCTGGATGCTGTTCCACTCCCCAGTCATCCTTCCCATCGTGTTTCTAATATGCGCCTGACCTTGCTGGATATGGGGACACACATCAATGAGACATGATTCCCAAAAGTTCTCACTGTCTCACAGAGATGGTGGGTTCTGCAGAAATCCTACCATTCTTTACAGCCCAAATGTTATCTTCATGAAGTCCCCTGAATCTGCTTCTCACCCAGAAACCAAGTGTCCCCCTGGAAGCATCCCCGGTCTGTGGCTGTGGTGGCCCTTACAGACATCACTGGTACAAAGTCCTGAGTCACCCACGGGTGGCACCCACACTTCAGTCTTTGCCCTGTGCTCTCTGGCACCTACACAGACTGGTCCGTAGTAGGCTCTCAATGAAACACTTATTGAATAATCACGTCAGAAATCTCTTACTGATTTCAAAAGGAGGATCCAGTTTTATTTTGCCTTTTCTGTCCCCGCCTTTGCTTTTCTTGCTGCTTGATGATTTCAGTAAAATATATCTTTCATTCAGTTTTCTTCCACCTATCATTTTGTATATTGAGAAATATAGAGAAAAGTTGATGGATTTAGAAGCAAGTAACTGAAAAGCAAGCTTGCAGCAGACTGTGTTCCTGTAGAACAAAGACAGACCCCTTCACCATCGCCTCTCCTGCACAGGTGTGGCCCCTCCTGAGGCCTCCTTCCTCTCCAGAGGGAGGAGTGTGTACACCCCACCCCACCCCTGGAGGTTAGGGTAAGGTAGGAGGCACTGGAGTGCCGGGGAATCCAGGTGCCCAGCCTCCAGCGAGGGCATCGCCATATTGAGTTGGCTTTTACTTAAGACATCTCTGAGAATTGCCTGAAAATGATTGATTGTATTAGCACTGCTTTCAAGAAAGGCCACTTTGATGAGAGAAGAAAAAGAACACTCTTGAGAAAACGTGTGCAGGCCCAGTGAAGCAAGTATAGCTCAGCCTGGCTGTGCATGCCTCCTGCCTCACGGCTCTTGGGCCAGACCCCAGCTCCCCACATCAGAGGGTGCTGGGCTCCTCCTGGGTAGGTCAGAGACTCTGGGGAAGGCAGGACTTTGTCGTGGACTCAGATCTCAGCAACTTCACTCATCTCTGGGGACACTGTGGTCCCAGGACATCGTGAAGACTTTGTTCTGCCCCACCTCTCTTGGGGCTTGGAGCTGAGGGTAGGGACGAGTCTTTTGCTATGGGCTAGGGATTCAGAAATTGAACTCACAGGGCACCCAGCATCAAGGGGAGCACAGCCTGGTGAATGTGAATGTGTAAATCTGCTGGGACTTCCATAACAAAGTGTCACAGACTGGGTGCCTTAAACAACAGAAAATAATTTTCTCACAGGTCTGGGGGCTGGCAAGTCCAAGATCAAGGTGATAATCCCTTCTGTTTCTGGCCAGGGCTCTCTTCCTGGCTTGCACACAGCCACCCAGTCACTTTCTCACTGTGTCCTCACTTGGCCTTTCCTTGGTGTGTTGTATGGGAGCGGGGGAATGTTGCTCTATGGGGTCTCTTAACCCTATCGTGAGAGCCCCACCCTCATGAACTCATCTAACCCTAATTACATCCCAAAGGCCCCATCTCCAAATACTATCACATTGGAGGTTAGAGTTTTAACATATGAATTTTGGGGGGACACAAGCATTTTATCCACAACAGTGAATGTTTACTGACTTGGGTTGTACATTCTGATCAGTCACCTCTCCCTTAATGAGGGTGGGATGGAGCAATGGCATTGGGCATGTAATCAACCAGTGGGACTGTTTGTTGATGATGTCGTTCTCTGAGAGCTTCTCTGTTGGACTAGGAATGAGGTTTAGGTTGCCCCACTCCTCTGACGTGGAGACTAGTTTTCTTTTTTTTTTTCTTTCACCAAGGTTTAGCTTCTGCATGTGGGTACTCAGTCGTTCAGTCATATCTGACTCTTTGTGACCCCATGGACAGCAACCTTCCAGGCTCTTCTGTCCATGGGATTTCCAAGGCAAGAATACTGGAGCGGGTTGCCATTTCCTTCTCCAGGGGATCTTCCCAGCCAGGGGATTGAACATGTGTCTCCTGAATCCCCTACATGGAGAGGCAGATTCTTTATCACTGAGCCACTAGGGAAGCCCATTTAGCTTCTAGACACTCCCAAAGGAAAACCAATTGGAAACAGCACTTGTAACTGGCATAGACTGGACCTGGGTGTGTGTTGTGGGGTGGGGTGTCTCTGTGTTGCCCTAAAACCTCCCTTAAGGATTATTGGCTCGGCTCCTTACTGAATTCTTGCTAAGCAGCCAGAACATAAACTTTGCATTTTATCTCCATTTCATCTCACCACTGCCTCTCACACCCAGACCTGATCACTTAGAGCAATATTAGAACCAGCACAGTATTTATCATAATTTCCTGGGCAAGTAGGGTTCTGGTAAGTACAATGAGAGCTAGTTATAGAGACTGAAGGCTCCAGGGAGCATTAATCATGGTGTCTGAGTGCATTTGTGGGAGCACATTGTAAACTAATTGCCATGTGCGGGGCTCCCTCTGTTATTACCTTTAATACACAATTTCACATACAACTTCTTTTTTGTTGCTTTCACACCACTGTAGACACACTCAAAAGTATGTCTCAGCTTTAAAATTTTTAGCTATAAAAGCAAAATAGGAAAATAAAAGAAATATTTCTGATGAGTGATAAATGTATCTGCCTAATAGAGCCCTTAGATCATAGAAGACATTTAATAGCTGTTTTTGACTACATAGATGAATACATAAAAGTAAGTATTTTTTTAATCTCAGCTTGATCTACTGCTAATTCATCTACTAACTTAGGGCAAGATATTGTCCTCTTCAAATATAAAATAAACTAACAATAGAAGAAGGGAAGAAAAAAAACCAGTTAGCTAAGAGATATGCCATTACTACCTCCAGAGGATTTCTCAGAAGAAAACTTTATTACACTGAGGTACTTTCCTTCTGTTCCTAGTGTGTTGAGAGTTTTTATCATGAAAGAATGTTTAATTTTGTCAAACACTTCTTCTGCACCTATTGAGATTAGAGTTTTAACATATGAATTTTGGGGGGACACAAACATTTTATCCACAACAGTGAATGTTTACTGACTTGGGTTGTACATTCTGATCAGTCACCTCTCCCTTAATGAGGGTGGGATGGAGCAATGGCATTGGGCATGTAATCAACCAGTGGGACTGTTTGTTGATGATGTCATTCTCTGAGAGCTTCTCTGTTGGACTAGGAATGAGGTTTAGGTTGCCCCACTCCTCTGACGTGGAGACTAGTTTTCTTTTTTTTTTTCTTTCACCAAGGTTTAGCTTCTGCATGTGGGTACTCAGTCGTTCAGTCATATCTGACTCTTTGTGACCCCATGGACAGCAACCTTCCAGGCTCTTCTGTCCATGGGATTTCCAAGGCAAGAATACTGGAGCGGGTTGCCATTTCCTTCTCCAGGGGATCTTCCCAGCCAGGGGATTGAACATGTGTCTCCTGAATCCCCTACATGGAGAGGCAGATTCTTTATCACTGAGCCACTAGGGAAGCCCATTTAGCTTCTAGACACTCCCAAAGGAAAACCAATTGGAAACAGCACTTGTAACTGGCATAGACTGGACCTGGGTGTGTGTTGTGGGGTGGGGTGTCTCTGTGTTGCCCTAAAACCTCCCTTAAGGATTATTGGCTCGGCTCCTTACTGAATTCTTGCTAAGCAGCCAGAACATAAACTTTGCATTTTATCTCCATTTCATCTCACCACTGCCTCTCACACCCAGACCTGATCACTTAGAGCAATATTAGAACCAGCACAGTATTTATCATAATTTCCTGGGCAAGTAGGGTTCTGGTAAGTACAATGAGAGCTAGTTATAGAGACTGAAGGCTCCAGGGAGCATTAATCATGGTGTCTGAGTGCATTTGTGGGAGCACATTGTAAACTAATTGCCATGTGCGGGGCTCCCTCTGTTATTACCTTTAATACACAATTTCACATACAACTTCTTTTTTGTTGCTTTCACACCACTGTAGACACACTCAAAAGTATGTCTCAGCTTTAAAATTTTTAGCTATAAAAGCAAAATAGGAAAATAAAAGAAATATTTCTGATGAGTGATAAATGTATCTGCCTAATAGAGCCCTTAGATCATAGAAGACATTTAATAGCTGTTTTTGACTACATAGATGAATACATAAAAGTAAGTATTTTTTTAATCTCAGCTTGATCTACTGCTAATTCATCTACTAACTTAGGGCAAGATATTGTCCTCTTCAAATATAAAATAAACTAACAATAGAAGAAGGGAAGAAAAAAAACCAGTTAGCTAAGAGATATGCCATTACTACCTCCAGAGGATTTCTCAGAAGAAAACTTTATTACACTGAGGTACTTTCCTTCTGTTCCTAGTGTGTTGAGAGTTTTTATCATGAAAGAATGTTTAATTTTGTCAAACACTTCTTCTGCACCTATTGAGATAATCAAGTGATATTTATTCTTCGTTTTGTTAATGTGATGTGTCACATTAATTGATTTCTGTGTCTTGAGCCATCATTCCTTTCAGTGCGCTGTTGGATTTGGTTTGCTAGTATTTTGTTGAGGATTTTTGTGTTTACATTTATCAGGGATATTGACATGTTGTTTTCTTTTCTTGTGGTGTGTCTGTCTGGCTCTGATATCAGGGTAATCCTGGCCTTATAAAATGAGTTTCAAAGTGTTCTTTCCTCTTCAGTTTTTTGGAAATTTTTGAGAAAGAGTAGTTTTAATTATTTTTTTAAGTGTTCAATAGAATTCACCAGTAAAGTCATCTGGCCCTGGGCCTTCAATTAAATTTCTGTACTAGCTATATGTCTGATCAGACTGTCTGTTTCTTCATGATTTGGTATTGGCAAAATTTTATGTTTCTAGGAATTTGTCCATTCTTTTAGGTTATCCAGTGTGTTGACATATAACTGTTCACAGTTATATTTCTGTTGTATCATTTGTGATGTCTCTTCTTTCATTTCTAATGTTATTTATTTGAGTCTTCTCTTTTTTCTTAGTTAATCTAGCTAAAGTTTTATACATATTTTAATCTTTTCAAAAAACCACCTCTTTGTTTTGTTGTTTTTTGGTTTTGTTTATTCCTTTTCTAGTGTTTGTTATTTCCTTCTGCAAACTTTGGCTTGGTTTGCTCTTTTTTTATGTATTTATTTAGTTATTTCTTTTTGGCTGCGCTGGGTCTTCATTGCTGCACGGGCTTTTCTGCAGTTGCGGGGGGCTGGGGCTCCTCTCTCCTTGTGATTCTCAGTGGCTTCTCCTGTTGTGGCTCTGGAGCACAGGCTCAGTAGTTGTGACTTTACAGGATTAGTTACCCTGTGACATGTGGGATCTTCCTGGACCAGGGACTGAACCTGTATCTCCTACATTGCCAGGTGGACTTTTTACCATTGAGTCATCAGGGAAGTCCTGTTCTTCCTCTTCTTTTTAGTTCCTTGAGGTTTAAAGCTAAGTTGTTGATTTGCGATCTTTCTTCTTTTTAATGTAGGCATGAACATCCCTCTTAGTACTGCTTTCATTGAATCTCATAAGTTTTGATATGTTGTATTTTCATTTTCATTTGTCATGAGGTATTTTCTAATTTCCTTCTTTATTTCTTGTTGACCCAGTGGTTGTTCCAAAATGTGGTTTTTTTTCCTCCCACGTATTCATGAATTGCCCAATTTGCTTTCTGCTTTGATTTCTAGCTTCATTTCATTGTTATCCAAAAGATACTTAGTATAATTTCAGTCTTCTTAAATTTTTTAAGACTTGTTTTGTGACCTAAATGATCTATCCCAGAGAAAGATCCAATGTGCTTGAGAAGAATGCATATTC